GGAACAGCTGTGAGATGGAGAGTATGGATGATTACAGGGGAGATGCATGTAAAGCAAGTGCATCAACAAGCACTCTGCTGAACAGTGTGGGCTTCACTAAACAGGTGATCAGAAAGCCCAAAGTTGAAAGTAAGGATGCTGTCGTCGTTGTTTATTGTTAAGAGTGTATGTGCTGTCCACTTTTACAGAGCACTTCAAAACTCATAGTCACGAGTGTTTTTACACAGTTAATGAGAAATAAAGTGGTCATATGAGTCCCTATCTAACAACACAGTTAACACTTAATGTGAGAACGGCTCCCTCTCCCTTTACTCTCTCTTTTAACCAAGGGCAACTGGAATTAATAAACAAGCTCACTGCAAGGCCACAGATTCTTCAGAAAGAGAGACAGTGTAGTCGCATATTCACTGACAAAGTAAATTAACAAATTAAAACACATTTGTTTTGGTTTGAGGGCTGTTTGAAGGCCAGACAAGGAGGTTTTTTCTTCTACATAGAACTTTTGGCTAAAAAAAACTACAAGAAATGACACCTGACATAAGGACATACTGTGCTGTGAAAAAATATTTGCCCATTTCCTGATCTCTTTTTTTTACGTAACTGTCACACTTACATGTTTCAGATAATCAAGCAGATTTTAATATCAGACAAAGATAACCCGAGTAAACAAAAACAAAGATTTTAAATGATTGCTTATCTTATTAAAGGAAAAAACGCTATCCAAACCTACCTGATGCTGTTTGAAAAAGTAATTGCCCCCATTGTAAAATCTTGAATTAACTATGATTAATGAATTATGTTCACCAGCCCCACCCAGGCCTGATTACAACAGACCTTTGAATCAATTAAGAAGCACAAACAGAACCTGACTGACAAAGTTTAGTAAGCTAAAAGATATCAAAAAACACATGATCAAAAGAAACAGCTGAGAAACAAAGTCATTGACATCTATCACTCTGGAAAGGGTTACAAAACCATTTCCCAGGCTTTGGGAGTCCAGTGAACCACAATGAGAGCCATTATCATCCGAGACCAACACAACTTTTCCAGAAGGCCAAAAAAGAACCCAAGACCTGCAGGCCTCACGTGTCTCAGTTAAAGTCAGTGTTCATGATTCAACACTAAGAAAGAGACTGGGCAAAAATGGCATCCATGGGAGAGTTCAAGCTGACCAAAAAGAACACAAGGACTCGTCTCACATTTGCCAAAAAACATGTTAATGATCCCCAAGACCTTTGGGAAAATATTCTGTGGACTGGCGAGACAAAAGTTGAACTTTCTGGAAGGTTTATGTCACGATACATCAGGCATAAAACTAGCACAGCAATTCAGAAAAAGAACATCATAACCAATGGTGGGTTAATGGTCTGGGGCTATTTGCTGCTTTATGAACTGAGTAACTTGCTGTAATTGATGGAATCAAAAAAAATTCTCTCCAGCAGAAATTTTTAAATGTTCATCAATGTGTGCTCTGAAGCTCGAGAACGCTTGAGTTGGGCAGCAGGACGATGACCCAAAACACAACAGCAAGTCCACCTCTGAATGTCTCAAGACAAAAGGAAGGTTTTGAAGTGTCCTAGTCAAAGTCTGGACTCAAATCCAATTGAGATGTTTTGGAATGACCTTAAAAAGACTATTCATGAACGAAAACCTTTCAAGGTGGCTGAATTAAAACAATTCTACAAAGAAGAGTGGACCAAAATTCCTCCACAGCGATGTGAAAGACTCATTGTATCAAGAGGCCAAACACTTTTTCACAGCACTATACTTTGCTGCTATGCAAGACAAATGGATAAATGAACAATGCAGTCAAATTTCAACAAGTTCAATACTGTCTCATTTAGGGATCGGCTAATATCACTAGTTTGTGAACTTGAAAATGGAAATGATCAGAATCTGTGTCTTTCTGGTGACTGAGGTACATCGATGACATTTAAAGCTACACAAAATAGACATGCTAGCATTGTTTTGTTTTTTTAACAAGCCTTTCTGCAAATTAGCTGCATTTCCTAATACAAAATACTGCTGAAGTATGCTGTCTTTACATCATTTACATATTTGAACCTGGTATGCACAGAAGACCCAGACATAAAAAAAGGATGCCCCTTCCCAGGAAACAATGATCGGCTGATTTTAATTGCTTTGAAATTCCAGCTGCATACATTGTGTGGCTAATTAAGCTGTACAATCAAGTCGCATTAATGAAAGCACTCCTCCGCTCACACGGATTCCTGCAGAGCACTTTTAAACAGGAATGCTGCTAAATGCTTTTCTCTCTATGCTTCTGACAGTTGCAGTTCCCTGAGACCAGCTTTGTACTTTAACAGGGAGTAAAATAATGTTTTCTGCAGAGGTTTTCTGTCTGAACACTAAGCCTGGTCATACTTTTGACTGATTCTACAAATCGTGGGACAATTTCAGACACTTGTTTTCGCATTAATAAGCATATGTTTTGAGTCACCAGGCTTTCGCTAAGCTCACCTTGACAATGAATTGCTTCGATGTTCTCTCATCAGGGACATAGGTGATACAGTACAGGACAAAGCCCAGGATGGAAACTAAACACAGCTGAAACATAACAGAAAAAAAGGGTTTAGCATTATTTGGATAGACTCCGTCATCAAGGCATTAAAAACATCTACATGATTTGTGACAACATGATTTTTAAGCGCCACAAAGATCCATTTCATCCATATATATAGCATATATGAATGACTTGTAGATCATACATTTACATACAGTTTAGACCATGAATAAGAAAAAGAAATACTTTCCCCCAGGTTTTCAGAGGTGTTTCCTGGTATTACATGATTCAGCAGTAAGCTGCCATCTGATTACTTTACTCTGTCTTTCCCTTTCACTCCCCTCCTCTCTCTTTCTTGCACACAAACACACTCACACTCGATCTCTGTGTCTTCAGTGCAATTGGAGTCTTGTGACTAACGTGAGGCATCTTATTTAAATGTTTTTCTCAGGTTCTTAAGCACTCAGGATTCTCTGGAAAGTTCTTGATGACCTCAATGTTTTTCACTTGGCTGAATCTCGTGAGGATCTAACTCGGGATGTTGATGTCCAGGGATGTTTTCGAAGGCAGATGGCATCTGTGATAGGCTGGGGTAGAGCCCAGACACAAAAAACACATTTTTTTATATCACTGAAAGGTGACCTGAAGTCTTAGCCCAAACTATAATAATAAGTAAATTTGCCTTCCCCCCTTTTTTATTACACATTTCACAAGGAAAGATGAACACTTTGTGCCTCATTGGTTATACAAGTTAAAGTGCGTGCATTTGTAACACTTCAACTTACAGTTTATCCACTTTTTACGTGTTACTCTTAACAAAGTTCACCTTTGTGAGCTGAAACCTCAAAGGTCTACAGTTTAACTGATGCTCCCAGTCAGTTACACTTCAACATTAACCTACTTTCAGTGCTTTCGTGACCTTTTTGTTAATTTCTCTTGAAATTCCACTTCTCGTCTTAACCTAAATGAAACACGCAACTTATCTTTCATTTGTTGTTTGCATTGTAAAAGTTTACTTTTGTGTGAAACTATATGTGATGTGTGCGTGTATATGTGGGGGAGACCGGATGGCAAGGATGCAGAGGTACTCAAAAAGATGTACATCATATTTGCAAATAATAATGAGGTCTTCTGACACTGTGTGGGTTTTCGTGGGTTAGTTTGGATTGCGGCATGCTGTTATTGGATGACTCATCTCATCTGTCCAGATGTTTAAGATTTCTTGGACATGCAGTGTGAACAACAGAAGGTGCAAGCTGATGCATGTGACTGAGAAATAATGGAAATGCAGGTGTATGCATTCAGGTGAATATGACAGATGGAGATTTGTTACCACATGACAATATTAGTGATTTCCCATGGCTACGGTGCCTGTCTGGCAGAGACAGCCTGGTGGGGGCCGGTGTTGACATACAGTGTGCTAAAGATGTACAACACAGGTGTGTTGCTGAGGCTCATGCAGAAGTATCAGAAACCGGAGGTTCCATGCAAACAAATGAGTGTAGCGGCTGATGATAGAGCGTAAAGTATGCAGCTTACAATGATCCCAGCCCAGTGTGGAGTCTCCCTGGCCAAAAGTGAGGGACTGATAGCCAACATAAGGAAGGCCACGGCTGTGACAGCCACCCCCAACAGCAGCTGGAGCAGAGCGATGAGCAGAGGGAAACGACAGACTCTGCACTTATGGCCATCTTCTGGTGTTGGGCTCTCTTCTCTCTTCTTCTTGCCCTCCTTCTTGTCTGAGGAATCTTTCTGTGCCTGTCTCATTTCTCTTTCTGCCTTCACTTTCTTTTCCTGTGTCTCTACACGACTTTTACTCTTTGGGGTGTATGAGCCCGCCTGCGGTCTCCCTCCCTTCCCCTCCCTGCCCTCTCTCACCATAAACACAGCTATGGCTGCTATTTGGAATCAGAGAAGGCTCTGAACTAATATGGAAAACATTTGGACTGGAATCCTAACGCGGCTCCAGTGCCACATATAGAGCAGGCAGCATACTGAGGAGGGAAGGAAGAGGAGGGATGGGAGGCAGGAAGACACAAAGGGGGATTCCAACTTACGACAATAAGATGATTTCTCGTGTACTCACATTAAAAACAAGAAAGGGAAAGTACAGAGAGGGATCAGCAGGTATGAGTTAATGAACAGCCAGCACAGAGGAGGTGACACTTCATTAAAGAGCCAAGTGACTGTTTCATTCTTTGTCAGCAGTTACACAAGACAACCATATGCTGCCAGCCAGAACGTGTCACATGACTTACAGGAACGAGTAATGTGATCACAAGGCATGTGAGGGGATTACAGTGGCGCAGATTTTAGTGTTTTTGGATCATTTTAACGTTCGCAAGGAAGGAGCAGGTGTCAGTAACAGATGAACTGTATGTGGTTAAACTATAAATATGCAATAACTCATTTATATATAAAAGGTTTTTTTTGTTTTTATCCTCACGCTTCACGTGTTTATCGCGGTCAATACAGAAAACTAACAGGCTTACGAGAAACCGAGGTGTTTGAAGGGGACTGTGATCACTCATCATTTTCAGCACGTCGGACTAACAAGTCACAAAACTTTATCCCGAGACTAATAAAAGAACTGCGACGCACGTGTTTCAGCACACAGCTGGGCCGGTGCCATGGTTACTGACAACGCAGCTTTGGGGAATTGATGTACAACTAAGGTTGTCCTGTCGCACAACAACGTACATAGAGCGTGCAGGGTGCATAAAAACGCATGAGCGCACACATTTTGTGGACTTTAAAAAGCTCACACCCCAATGTTTACGCTCCGTGTTTACGCCACAATAACCTGTCTGCTGTTCAGGCTCGGTCACGTTACGTGACCGGTTCTTGTTTTTATCTCGCGGAGGCTTCTTTCCCGAAGTGCGACTGTTCGTGATCAGTTTAGAAGTCTGTGTCTCGCTCCGGCAGCTCAGCGCTTGCACAGCAAACACGAGCTGTGAAGTTTTGTAGCCCATAAAACTAGATGCAAAACCGCTGCATCTGAGGATCATTATTCTGCCTCGCTCCACGCGCCTGCGTCTGCTCCTTTGCATTTTGCGCACGAATCACGTTTCAGCAGCCTGGTCAAAATGGCCTGGACTTAGTCGCCATAGAAGCAGCGTCGATAGCTGCAATATTACAGACAAGGTCTAATTACCGGACTTTGTGCTGGTGCAGCCTACACGTGAGTCGGAAGCTGTTCCCAAACGGAGGCGCGCGTGCGCTCTAACCACAGAGCCGACGGCTTTGCAAAGTGGCAGCTCAGGGAACTATAGACATCAGTCTGACGCGCAGCTCCACTGGAGGACACGCACTGTGCATTATCTGCCTCAGCCGTCCGCGCGTGGGTCGTTGGAATAACAAACATTCCCAAAAGAAGCTCAGAAGAAGCAAAGAACCAGCAGAGGAGAGATGGATGAACGAATACCGCATTTACAGGACAGGCAGTTCATGGAGCACGCGGATTTCTTGGGGTGAGTATCGCTTTTGGCAAACTCTGTCAAAGTATGCCTAATAAACTGTCATGACGAGCTGGTGAATAATCTGACACTTTCCCCGTGTCCGTAGGGTGGATTACCCCTCACTCTACATGTGTAAATCCAAAAGAGGAATAAAGCGAGAGGATGGTGGGAAGGTGCGCACGTTGTTTTTTTTAAAAAAAATATTATTATTCTAATATGTAGCTTGTTTTCACAGTTGTTCCTTAAAAATACCACAAATGATATGAAACACACTGTAACTAGTGTTATAGTGTTACTAGCGTGTTCCTGTTCTGATTAATTAAACACTCGTATTTTGTCAGCAGGACGCATACAAGTTACCACACCGGTTGATAGAGAAGAAGCGGAGAGACAGAATCAACGAATGTATAGGGCAGCTGAAGGATTTGTTACCCGAACATCTCAAGCTGTCGGTGAGATCACGAAATCATGAAAAGTTTTATACGTGCTCAGGACATGGCTTTACATGACAGAGACCTCGTAAACAGCCAAACACAACCTCTGATTTTCTCCACAGACGCTCGGGCACTTGGAGAAGGCAGTCGTCCTGGAGTTAACGCTGAAACACTTAAACGCGCTGACTGCTGTCACTGAGCAGCAGCACCAGAAGATTATTGCTTTGCAGAATGGTAAGATGAACGAACTCAATCCTCATATACATAAAGTTTTGTAAAGAAACTGCACTTCTTGACAATAATTAAATGGATATGGGTTTTTATCATTTAACTGACCGGATTTGGGGAAACTTTATTAATCTCCGTTTTTAAAATAGCAGAACGAGCAGAATTGAAGAAAGAGGAGCTAGAGTAGACTCAGCTTGGATGCTTTATTGTGTATTTAAAGATTCTTCCTATTAATTCCGCATCTGTTCACTTTGTCTGAGTCGCTAGCCTCGTCTCGTCACTAGTTATGATGAGCATCTTACAGAATAATGATCTGTTACTCTTCAAACTCCTTGCTTCGCAGGAGACCGGTCGATGAAATCTTCCATTCACGCTGATCTGGATGCGTTCCACTCCGGATTCCAGGCCTGTGCCAAAGAGGTCCTGCAATACCTGAGTCAGTTTGAGAACTGGACAGCACGGGAGCAGAGGTGCGCGCAGCTGATCAACCACCTTCACAAGGTGCTGGCGCAGTTCCAGCCCGGCGCGCAGCCACTACAACACCAGCTGCCCGCCGGGGACGCACAGGATGGTCAGAAATCTGACAGCCAAGCCAATTGTGTCCCCGTCATCCAGAGGACCCAGGGTGGAGAGCTCAACGAGAATGACACAGACACGGACAGTGGATACGGGGGCGAGGCAGAAAAGAGCGACGGCAAAGATAAAGAATGTGAGCGCAGTAAGGCGCAGGGACCAAAGGCAGTGAAAATCAAGCAAGAGTTCGGAGATGAGCGGGCTGCCAAAAAACCAAAGATGAGCTGGCCTGGGAACGGGGCAGGGGGCGCAGACCTCACCAGGCCCGACGTGGCGTTTATGAACTCTCTGATGGGAATAAGCAGTGTGGGACAGCAGACACCGATTTGCATGCCTTTCTACTTCATTAACCCCTCAGCCGCTGCTTCTTACATGCCTTTTTTCGACAAGAACAACATTGAAAAGTACATGTACCCTGCGGCGGCCGCCCTTGCTTCCCCTTTCCCTTGGCTATATCCCGCTCACGCCTCAGCGGCGGCGGCGGCGGCCGCTGCTGCCGCGTTCCCCGGCCTGTCTGCGCACTTTGGAGCCGCTTCTCAGTCCAAGGACTCACCCTCTCTAGACACCGACGGGTCACTCGAGGCTGACGAGGGCTCACCTGAGGAGCGCGAGGAGAGTCCCGCTAGTGACGACGGAGAGGGTGACGTAGGCGACACGTCCCAGGAGAGCAAGAGTAGCTCACACGACCAGTTTTCTGGGTGTCAGAGGAGCTAATTAGTCCGTGTTACCTCTCTGCGCATTCTCGAGGAGTTTATGTATCTTCATTTTTTTAAATAATTAGGCTAGTTTTAAACGGGGTTTCACAGGAGAGTTGCTCGTGTACAATATCTTGGCGAAAGAGAGGACAGTTGTGACGGCGCGTGCCTTTTGCACTTATGCTAGATTAAACAATCTGAATGATTATCGACAATGATTGACACTACACGGCCGTGTTGTGCTGGAGTTAGTTTTTTTATCCTCTTTGATAAACTATTTTGACATGGCAGCATTGGTGCCAAAACTTTGAGTACTGCAGCAGTGCGCAATATTCCAGTCAATGAGTCTCTTTGGATGTATGAAGTTGCAACTGACCTCTGCCAAGATTATTAATAACTTGGCTGACTCTGACTGTAAATATTATTACCTGAAAGATTCATTACCATGTAAATGTGTACTAAATGGGGCCTATAAAATGGGTGGTCCTGGAAGTGCATCTATCCCCAACTTTGCATGGGTAAGCTGGGAGGCACATTACTGTACCTCCTGAGAACTGAAACGCATCCCCCTTTCAGAACATACATAGACAGCATCTCCATCATACACAACACATATAAAAGTCTCATGTTTTAATAAAACATTTGTAATACATTCACGGGAGAGGTGTTATGCATAAATTCCTTCATTTCACTCCCACTAAAGTTACTCTGGTTTCCGTTGCTTTCTGTATCCTTGTGGCAAAAAAAGAAATAAAAAGAAGAAAGAAACAGATGTAATAAAACCATTAATGGAGAGACAAAGCCTTCATTCATAAGGATTTGCTTAACCAGCATATTGTACATCCCCTGACTGAAGCATTTCTGCACAGAGCTGCAGTGACCTTCTGTACCTCCAGGAAACATTGTAGGATAGCACCTTAAAGATCTTTGATATTGAATGTACCTGTATTTTCCCAGCTGTTAAAGTTTGTATGTAGAATGGCATTGCTCTTTGAGTTACTCTTTTAAGTGCACTTTTTCTGCTTTTACCCACTCCACCCTGAAAAGTCACCTCATCATTAAAGTAAATCATTATAGTTCTCTTTGAACCTTTCTATTGTGTTGTCTTGAAATTAAAAAAAAAGATTTTGTTCCATCAATGAAAAGAGATATTGGATATTTTGTGATGATTCCATGCAGTAAAGTGGGAGTTAACCAAGTTGCCAGATTTTACAAAAAACTGATTTCTAGCTCTTTCAGGGGTTAAAATCACAATCAAGTTTGAAAACCCTGAACCCAACTACACATCAGGTCATCATCTGGGATACTGTGCTATCATCATGTAAAACCATAGTTTTTTTTTTTTGTTTTAAATGGTCTAAAACTGGGAAAGAAAGTCTGGTCATTTTAAGAACTTTATCCTGGCCTCTTTTTTATAAATAATTCCCACTAAGTATAGTGCTGTTTCAGATTTCTCATTGTATTTCGCCTACATGACATTGCTTTTGTAGTTTTCCTCAGCTGGGTTTTTGCCTCAGATCTGTTATCAGCTGTTCTATAAAGTGGCATGTGTGTTTGTAAATAGGTTTTTGTGAATATATCAAGAAGTATACATGTCTTTGTCAATGTTGTAGAAGTCTATGGATTTTTTTTAAAGACTTAACTGAGCAACTGTTGCACATTTCGTTAATGCTTTACACATATGCTGTTCTAAATTATTGCTGATGAGTTGTAAAATAAATATCAAAATCTGAACATTGCAGATGACTTCTTATTCTACACCAGTTTTTCATGTCTTCAGTCTTACGTGCAATAAAATCCAGCTTCGGTCATTGTCTATTAATAAGCAACAAGTACATACACGTGTAACATAGGTCACGAGAAACAATACAAAATATTGGACAGCATTAGTATAATGGGATTAATGAATAATAAAAATATTAGAAGTTCAATGGGTGGAATGTAATGCTACACATCAGCTGACAGGTCACAGCAGAGGAATGTACAGTAAGCCAAGGCTTTAAACAAAAGTCATGTGATAAAAGGGGTGATGAAGTGAGATTATAGTCTGTCTGTACAGGCTGAAGAAAAACAGGGGGCCCTCATTCCAACCTGTCAAAAGCTTTAAACAAGGTTAAAACCAGTCTTTGTTGTTGCCGTTAATTGGCTTGTAGCAATATCATTTTAATATTAACATGGCATTCCAGTTTCTCACCTTTTTTTTTTTTTTTAAATATAAAAGCAATCTTGGTAACGGTATAAACAAGTTCATTATGCACGTTTCATTATTGATGGAATAAGACCCACACTACAAATCCAACAACAACAAAATTCAAAAAAAGTCTTAATTATGGTACAAAAAAGGAAAACCCTTGAAAGTTTAGATTCAAAGTTTAGATTGTTTTTGGTGAAATGAAGTTTCACCAAAAACATACTTTTTCTAAACAGCTCATTTTCATATTCTAACATTATTCTTTTTCCTCACTGCATTCTTTTGCATGTAAACATACCCAACTCCTGAGCATTTCCCACCATGTTTGCCTCAATTACAAAGTAAATGTCTCCCCCTACGGGTGAAAAGCGGAAACACTATACAACGTAGTACAGAATCCTTTTCATTTACACCCATGGGCTGTTTTTAACACTTACATCAAGCACCAGCGACACATTTAATTTTGTCAGATGGTTTATTGAACCATGCAATCCATGTCATATCAGCAGCCTGTTACAGCCATACATCTGTCAACACTTTGCAGTATATTAAGGCAGAGAAGAAGAAGAAAAAACAACAACAACAAAAAACAGGTTATGTACAGTCGACATCTTACGCTTTTCTAGAAGATATGCAGCTGTAAACAACAACCATAACTATGAGACAGTACTGATCCAACCTACAGTATAAATGTGCTGCATGACAAGTAATAAATCTAAACTAATGTTTACTTCATTTTACAGCACTACTGTTATGGTGACAATAATACACCAAGGGGAAAAAAAGCATGAAAACTAATGTACTTTCCTTCCACAGGGACACAAAAAAAACAAAACAAACAAAAACAAAACAAAAAAACAACAACTATAGAAAAAAAAATACTATATACTCTTTGCTGCTGTGCCGTTTTAGCTTCTCTCACTAATATCTACTCACATTTGGTCTAAACTGGCTCATTCCTTAAATGGCCCCACTAAAGATTTACTGTACATTATTTGAATATACCCACTGTGGAATTGATATAAGGCACTTTGATGTAATTAGCAGCTGGACTACAACCCAAGGAGTTCACACGTTTATGTTCGCGTGCACACACACACACACACACACAGTCACACACAGACAGTCACACACGATTTACTACTTAATAAGGGCTTCATACCTTGGCTATTTTGATGCGCATAGTTACAAACAAACTCTAATAGACACACTAGCTTAGCTGGAACTATCCACCCTATTACTACATGCCTCCATTTTCAGATATAACTAACAGATTAAATGGAGTGTGGTTGCTGTGCACATTCATATATGGACAACATAATCATGCATCAAGACCTGCCTATCTTTGGCCACATGATAATCAAGAAAAACCAAGCATAACACATTTGGCAAAAATATAGTGTGAGGACACAAAATGAAGAAAAAAAACAAACAAAAAACAAAATCAGTGTAAAAGGATTAATAACACCATTTCAGTGTGCAGATATTACTGCAGGAATGAGGAACAGCATTGGTATGATGGTAAATGCACCGCTTGGTAATAAAATATACTAATCCACTAAATAAAGATGAAAAGTAAGAAAACATATTTACAATAAGCCATCATTTTGGTGCATACAGAATGCAACATTCTACAGTAAGGAAAGCATTTGTGCATAGTTTTAATTTGAACAAAGATCGCAGGAATAGATTCTGATATGCAAAATGATGGATTGTTCACAATTTTACTCTAAGTAGATCCTTCACTTATTTAAGAATCAGCTGATTTTGAAGACATAAGGTTCATAGGTTCACATACCCAAAATTCCAAAGGCAATAGTTTTGATTCACCATGCTATGCAGAAAACAATAAACATCATTCAGCAGATACTGAAGTGAGAGTACATCAGGTGGATATGTTTATAACAAAAAGCCAGATGTTTACATGGTAATTTATTGGTTCTGTTATCTTTTTTTTTTTTTCATGCCATAGCTGCTAACCATCTCTCATTCCTACCAAGTGCTCCATGCCTTTTAGTCAAAGATTACATCTTCAAAGTAAAGGTTGCCTTAATTGAGAAAAACAAAAACAAAAACAGTGCATAGTAGTGTGCTACGGAGGCATTCTGTACTAAAATATCAACTTACAAAACTGTTCTGGAGTGAAACTGGCTGTTGGCACGGGGGCAAGATGTGTTACTTCCACAGCAGAACCGTCTCACACATAGATCCCTTCTGGGTTCAGACCAGAGCTGAGAGGACTGTGAAGGGCCCGGAGATGATTGGGCATCGGGTGGGTCGACACAGGGCGCTTTAACGAGCCAGACAGGGGCACTAAATCTAACAACAAATATAAAAACATCACCAAAATGAGAAACAATACTCTAACTATCAAGTGCATTTCAAAATTTTAATAATAAAAGCATTGGACTGTGGCAAGTGGCATCAAAGACTAACATTTAGCATTTTTTTAAATTTAAAACTTGATTTATGATCAACTAATGCCTCAAAGCTTATGAATAAATGCAAATTTTAATGGTGAGATTTCCAAATGACAACCATTAGTTAAAAACATACACATGCTGATGATGTAATGCAGTGTAATTTTGCTAAACGGGCACCAGGGGGCAGGACTGGGCCATGCAAAAAATCAGCCAGTGCAGTTAATTTTAATGGCCAGGACCTAAAGCCTTTGTTGATTTACACTCTGCACTGAAGGTTACAAGAAGATCATCATCAACCCTCCATTATTACTTTTCATAATGAGAAACTATTACCATGAAGTGCATCTAAGAGATCCAATGGTGTAAACAGTTCAATTCAATTAGCACAAATCCAATGTGGCATACATTATTACACCATCAGTATAACCAAACTATATAAGCAGCTTCACTATATGCACAGTAAATGGAATTCATTCAGATGAATGACTTCATTTAAATAAAGCGATTCAATATTCAGTATTAATAAACGGAAATCCAGGTTTATTTACTTAAAAATAAATGCTCAGTTTTTAGGGAGGTGTGAATGTGGAGTACCAAAATCATTCCTATGCATGAGAATAAAGGCTTAATTATTATCATATTTATGCCTTTGCATTTATACATTTGGTTCTGAGGTTGTTTTTTTAATGTTTTTACAAAGGCTGAATTGCAAAACTTAAGAGTTATATCAAACTGTGGGTTGGTATCGTAAAGTTTTTAACAACTAGCTGGATGATGGTTCATTTCCTTTGTTGCATTACTTTCTCACTGAGTGCTCTTAATTTATGTGTCAGCTGTCTGACGGTTTCTTGTAGGATGAGATAGCTTTGGTCCAATGACCCACCACAGAAACTTCTGAAGATGTGAAGGAGTCAAGAATAAATAAACGTAGCAAACAACTGATACTAGGTCTCCCTTTATCCAGACTGATGTGGAGATTAAAACTGCCACTGAAGGGGGTAATAAACTAGGTCTGAGCCCTTTACCTACCACAGTTTTCAGCAGGATAATCTCTCTCTCTTTCTCTCACACAAACATACACTTAAGCTTTTATCCTACATAATAAAGAACTCTCACTCTTGCTCCCTATGAACATACATGGGCATACTGAGCTCCCTAGCAACCTTGGCTTGAGCCTTTGCCTTCCAAGTTTAACGAGTCAGTTGATGGGACAAGGTGAGGGAGAGGCATCGAGATACTTTTTTCTACCTACCAGTAATCTAATTTGAATCCCTAAAACCAAGTCTCGGCCCTCAGCAGTTAGTCTCTACCTGCTGGTCCAAGGTGAATACAACCCCTACAGTTTACAATGAGATTAAGCTCAAAGAAAACAAACACTTAAACACACAGCAGAGTCATTTTCACTCAGCATGCTGTTAAGACACGAGGCAGCAGAATAATGAGCACCTTGATGGAACAGACTGACTGTATTAATGCACAGGCAAACTCAATCTCAGCTTTCTTACTTCATTAAAAAAAAAAGAAAGAAAAAAAAAAGATCACATGTTAAGCATGTGAAAAACCACCAAAGGCACGCTGCAATCTGACATACCATTAGTTCAAAGAAACCACTGTTACAGACTCCACACTTTGGCTACAAAAGCATCCACATTGCAATACGGAGTTGTAGTTACATATTTTACTCCAAAGAAAACTCCCCAGAAGACCCGAAACAGCTACTTATTCAATGTTTGGAAGAAAATTTCAATACCTATACCGGGGCTGTTGTGGGTACTTCCTTCCTCAGCAGGTTCAGCTGGCAGTACAGTGACCTTGGTGCCAGTCTGCTTGATGAACTGCTGCAGGTTAACCTGCCTCAGCTCCTTGGTCAGCTGCTCCAGGTCATGCTGCATGTCCTTCAATAAAAAACGCAGCAGTGGGAGAAATTATTTTTCAGAAGACCGCAAAGCATTACCAGCAGCTTCAGACAGCTTCTTTTTCCATGAAAAGTTCAGACAAATGCTCAAAATGTTTGACTAATTAAAAAAAACAAAACAACAAAAAAAACCATCACATAGAACAACAGCACTTGTTTGTTATCTGTGGTTTGTTATCAGTGTTTCCTATTGATTCTAAATTGAGTGAGTAATACTCAGCACTCCTCTATCACTGTTCCTCACAGCTTAGAGGAACAGTGCTAAAGAAGAGCTTGCTGATAGAGTTGTGTTATAATTACATCATTCTGCAGCAGTGTTTTCATAGAAAGTTTGCACACTGCATTCAAATCAGTCACCTGCAATTTCTTGCTACTCTGTCCAAGCGACCTGTCCACAGCTTTGCAACTGCTCTCCAGCTGGACAGCCTGTCTTTCTTGGGCCTTCAATTCTGATTTGATCCTAAGGACCTGAGCCCGAGCCTCAGCCTCACTGACCCACTGGGTCTCCTGCCGCTCTCTCTGCAGTTTCTCTTCTTCCAGGCCTGCCTCTACACCCTGAAGGTGGAAGAAAAAGAAAGAAACTAAACTACTCAGGAAAAGGAAGGAACAAAAGATGACTAGAAAGTCTGTAAAACCTTTGAAACAATGATAAAAACGTATTTTCTGCCCACAAATCCAATCTAACAAAAAAAAAGCTCCCACATACAACACACCTGCACCATTGCCAGTTTCTCCTCAATCTCCAGTTCACAGCTCTGCAGACGCCCACGAAGCTCCTGCAGCCTTTCCTCCAGCTGTCTCTCACTTTCAAGCTCAATTTGCAGCTCAGTGGCCCAAAACTCCTCTTCCTCCATCTCCACCTCATTCTTCCTCAGGTACTTCTCCAACCTCAGGATCTCCTCTATTAACCCTCCACCTACACCTGGGTTCCCAGCGCACCCTTCACCTCGCCCCCCTCGTCCTTCAGCCCAGACTTGAAGTTCAGCTTCATAGGCCTCAAGCTTTTTTTCCAACACGTTGAGAGTCTCTCTCTGCAGACCGACCAGCCTGACCAGATCTTCCATGCGGCAGGCCCAAAGGCTGGGGGACGTGGTCCCGATAGTGGGTCCAGCATGGTGAAGACTTCCTCCATTTCCAAGAAGAAGCCTTCGTTTGGCTTCGGCTTCACCAATCCGGCCTCCGCTCAGTATCTCCCTAAGGCTTCTGGGTGCACCAGTGAATGTAAGAGACTTGCGGCGGGGTTCACGGCGGCGAAGGGAGCGATCATTGGGATGACGAAGCTTTGCAAGCGGAGGGAGGCTTTGTCGATGCAAACCGCGTTCTGGCCCCCTGAGAGGGGGCCCTTCTGAGGGGGGTCTTTCAGTCAGTGAAGGGCCTGTGCGGTGCAGGATCAGCTGGACATCACCAGCATACTGGCCCCAAGTGTTCAGGGAAGCCACGGGGCTTTCGTGAGGGGCTAAGTGACGCTCAGTGTCGCGCCATTTTTCTACAAGAGTGTATCTTCCAGTGCGACCTGAAAACAACACAGTATAGCACATTTACATTTACGTGACAACTGCTGCTAGAAAAAAATCTCTAAAACAAAGTCATAGAAATGCAGTTGTGATGTGATCAACATACACTAAACATTAACTAAGAAAACTTGGGTCCTAATATTCAACTGGATGTTGAGACGACAAAGTCTGAAAGATGTGCGTCTAGCATTCAAACTCCAGAGATCCCATTCTGATCAGGTATCTGTGGGAAATGCTGGAAAAACTACCTGCCACCAGCAAACCAGTGCCAAGAGTCCCACTTTCACACCATATTCTGGCAGGACAAGGGAGATCTACAAATATTATGCAAGTGGTTTTAATTGATTGGTGTTTACAATCTTTCCAACCTTTAAACCATTAGCACACACAGATTAGAATGATGACCTCATTGGAATGATTTTTCTGGCTGCATTAACAATAACAGTTAACAATTTCACCCAGCTTATTTACATGGTTTCTGAAACACCTTATAGTGGTTTTTATAACTGCAGCAAGAGCATTGAGTCTCACACTATAGAGTACAGTCTGAACATACTGTAAAAATACTGTCTGGAATACAGAACATTCAGCCTAAACAGGATGTGAGCTGCACAGATCTGCATTGTTGGGGTGTTATTAAGCGATTTCAGCTCAATGAGCAATCCTTTCACAGTACATTTCATTCAATGATTATAACAAAGAATCTGCTTTCTGCTGTTTAGGGAAAACGTAGACACAACACTTAGTAGTAGAGTGCAGACAGAAAAGGTTTAAGTACCAGATCAATACTGATGTCTGATCACTTAACATGGCGTTAAAAAGCAAAGGAGGGGGCTCAGAAGTGCTGCTTTCTCAGTTTGGCAGGAGACTGAGGGATGAGTCAGACTTTCCTTCCTCCCCCTCCTCCTCCTCCTCCTACCCTGGGCTTTGTGGAAAGTGATGTCAATACAGTATGCTCAAGTGCCCCTATTCTTGCAGGAACCATATGGAAAGAGAGAGTAGGGTGTTGTGATCTAAGGAAGTACCAATGAAGCCTATGACCCACTACATCTCTGCAGGGACTTAGCATGTAGGCAGGAGAGTCTGTTTTTTCACTTCATTAGGACTTACTTGGCATTTAGGGGATTTAAACCAAGATTAAAGCTTTGTGGGTTGGCTAACGCATAAAAATACACTTGATGAAAGTTACTGTCTGTTCAGTGTTTTTGGTATTAAAAAAAATAATTGTAAACTATTCAACCATTGGGCCAACATGTATAAGAAAAATAATTTATTATTATTAGCCAATTATCAGTGTCTTGTTACAGCAGGTGTAACCCTTCATGTTTTCATGATGACATTTTTGTGCAGAAATCAGTTACTGATGCATGACAATACTAATACATTCACACTACTTGAATCATTTTGAATGACCTTCTTTAGGTGTGCTTATTGTAGCTTTCATAAAATAGGGATTATTTACCTATGGCCTGTGCCAGAGCAATCACCACTTCCTGGCAGGTGGTTGCCTCAGTGACCCCACAGACAACCCTCTGGACTCCATCCACCCATACCTTGAGCTCCATGCTGGGTCAGAAGCAAGGGGGCCGGGAGCTGCGTGCTGGCCCCAACATTACTGAAGGTGGCAATGGCAGGGCAGCGGAAGCCCCTCTGATTAATTCGCTGTGGAGAGAACAAGAGGAAACAGAAGTCTTTAGTCTGCATGTACTCAAGGCCAAAGGTGTATACTTCCTACTTGTTAACAAGAACCCAGTTGAGAAGGGAAAAATAATAATGTGGAGGTAGAGTGGTGCTATTTTCGCAGTAGGTTAAGGTAAGAAATAATCCAGTGAGAGTGACTCAAAGAGGCTGGCATGCCAGGGCCAGCTGGCCATAACGCTGTTGTTTTGTTCTTCTCTATGAATAGGTACATGTCTGTTGGGGGTGCAGGAAGAGAGTGCCAGGAGACATTCCCAAGGCCAGTTCCTGCTTTTGTACAGCTGCGACGAAAGAAAGATTAACTCAGTTAGCAGGGTGGACAGAAACAGAGAAGGAATGTAAATGTAATTTAAAACAAAGGAAAGAAAGAATTACAACACAGGGGAGTAGAGATTCGTTTTGGATGTGTGCTCACGGTTCTGTAAAATTGCCGTGGCATGTATATCGTATTGACAGAATCCCGTATTCTCCACTGTGGAACAATACAGCAAAATACAAGAAAAGATGTATCCTCGTGAAGTTTGTTTAATATTAACATTGACTGATTTATACCAACAGCTATGTGGCTATGCCTATGAAAGCTGGTTACTTACACAAAGATGTAAATAACCAGTGACAAAACACCACACATGAAACAAGAATCTAGATGGAGGCATCTGTCGACATGCACTTCAAGGACAGCAACCGAATGAATGCATACTTTTCTCTGCAGACCTGTATCACTCTCCATGAATCTAACCTTCAATGCACCTACACTACTGTGTCAAAAGGTTCTTTTGTTCACCCCCCGCCCCGCTGTTAAACCTCCTGTACGCCCCACATATCCCCTGTCCACAACCACAAAGTCACCATCGCCAATTGTTTTTCTAAATATGGTCAAGACGTTGTGCAGTGCTACAAGGTATGGTATGCAAGAATAGAGAAACAGAAGTAGACTTCTTAATAATATTTACTGTTTTAAAAGATGGTCCTCAAAGCCTATCAGAAATTTAAGTTGATATTTTTAAAATGATTGTTTTTAGAAATTTAAAAAACAGCCAAAGTGTTGGATTAAAAAAAATAAAAAAAATCTTTTAATCCTCCAATTTTCATAATACTGACTGAAGAATTTTCTACCTATCTGCAATACAAAAAGCAGAAAAGCAAAAACCCTAGGTAGTTTCATTGCAGTGTGTGTTATGTGTGTATGTGCACTAGTGTCATCTAGTTTCAGTGCTATTATCCTTCTTTTAAAACAGAACCTAAATGGCATTACATGCTTGAAGGACGTAGAGGAATATGAATAACGGCCAACACATGCAGACGCTTAGATTTTTCTGCCATCACCCAAAAGACCTTTTTCCAGGGGGGCGTAGAAACAGTAACAGGCACTGATTAGGTCTTGATGCAAAGCAGTCATAGTGGAGCAGCCAGAGGTGATCAGCCATTCTGATTGGAAGAAAAAAAAACTATAGCAACACTTCCAGACTAAAGGCATCTGGCTGAAAGGGATTTTAAAAAGACCACTGCATGGAACACTTTGTATTTCACTGGCATTAGAAATATCTGCTGGCTGATTCAGGGCTTCTTCTTTGCAAAAGCTCTATAAGACTCAGAGGGGAATTTACAAATGTCACTCGGTTTAGTCCAGGCTTGCAACATTTGTATTCATTACCATTAACCCAGAAAACCCAACTGATGATACAGGCACAGCGGTGCGAGGCAGAGTGCCATCCTGAGCCCTGCAAGCTCCATTCCTCTGGCCAGTCAAAGCCACAGCCTGGGGAGATGCCCGCCTGCTGATTTGGGCAGCTTGTGTTTTGCCAGAGAAGCATTTCACAAGATAGAGAAACACTCAAATTTCTGCAAATTCTGCTTAAGTCCATTTGAGCCATGATCAGCTGCATAAAAAAAACAACAACCCCAAATGACTTTAGTGACCGCTCACATTTGTTTCGGTCTGGTATTGGTTAAGTAGTCTTCTTTGAGTAGTGAGGTGTACGAGCAGAAATGAGCAGCCTGCCTGGCCGGCTGCTGATGACACTTCTCCAGACCTACAGGAGCACACCAAGCTGGCAGGGAAAAGGCTTCTACTGGCTGCTGCTGTAAACAAGCTACCATATGCTCCTGTGGGTGTTTCAGCACAACCAACACATTTCAGTAACATACAGTATACAGAAATACTGTAGGAGTTTCAATGTTAGAGCTTAAATACGGAACTGCGTCTTGGATTTACAGTCTGTCAGCCATCGCGATCTGGCAGGTGTATTGTGCATTTTATCAGTATGCTGAACAAGGGGACATCAAAGCCAGTGTGCTTCACCAAGGAAAAGGCCTGTAAAGCAGCAAAAACAAAACAAAACACAAGACTATGAAATAAAATAAAATGGTTCTTATAAAATTCCAGTTCCTGTCTATATTTGCTAACCATTGTTCAACAAGGTGGTAAACAATGCTACTAGCAGAGGTTCAGGCATTCAGGCATTATTGGAATTCGTATTCAGCATCTTTATTAATAAAGATTTATAGCAGAAGCCTTCTGAGATTTAAAACTCCCCCACACTGCTGTTAACTAAATACAATAGGATCCTTCTTACAGACTGGAGCAACAAAAGTCTTCTCTAAACCTTCCAGCCTATTACTTACCAAACTTTAATTCAAATTGCACACCCTGCAGGGTAGCATGTAATTAGTAGCAATTTATACTCTGCTGTAATTGGTAACAGACCTGTTGTGAAATAGATCACTGTGAGCAGCCAGAGACAGATGATGGTTTTATTGTGGAGGCGACTGGGTTGGAACAAACTGGAGTAATCTACTGCTTCCCTTTTAGTCAAGCGCTACAACTACATAAACAAGTATAATCCCTGGCCTTAAATCACTTGTGTGAGGCAAAAGATTTTAATTAATGTAAGACACACTGACATCATGGAACAATTGTGGCTAAAAGTTATCCATCTTGCACTGATGACCAGATAAAGAAGTTCCTGTTCACAGATATGCCAGCCTAGAGTGTGTACAATGTCCTGTGCAACTGTAAACATCACAGAGCATGGTAAGGACCAGAGAAAAGCCTTGATCCTGGAGAGTGAAAACTGATAACATACAGGGTATGCATTCCTGGGCTGTGAGAATCCAATAGGCCATGACTAAGAGATAAGAAAGCTATGGGGTCCTTTGCATAGTGATACTGGTGGCTATGAAAAATACAACGGTAGGTAATGGCACCTAAATAACATGAACCTACAATAATAATAATAATAATTACAAGGTCAGAAAAATTGCGTTTGCAAGGCTCAAACTGAGGATTCCCAATTGATGGTTGTTGTCCATTTATTGCACCTATACTAAATCCGCTGAAAACGTAGCAGAAGATAATGGATTGCATTCAACATACTTATTACATGTGAAGCTTTTTAAATGTGTGTGCCTTAAGTAAATGCCCCGAGCCACCAAAGTAACCCCAAAAATAAGGACAAAAATGTTTCCAGCACTTCCTCAGAATTTGTGTTTTCGCTCTGAAGATAGGAGAGTTTGGGATTAAACCCCCATCCAGTTAGGCTACACCCAGCACCCACAGCTCTTGGGATGTCTCCAGTGGCCCCTTGCCCTGGAGCTACTCCTCTCTCTTTTTTTCTGTCTGGTTGATATTAAACTATTAAGCGCTGAAGCAACCTCCCCCATTTGGGAGGTCAGTGCTGGCAGAATCTGGAACATCTGGACAGCACGTTCAGCCACCAATAATGCCGCCTTTGTTCCCTTGCCATATTCTCTGCTCACTAGCCAGCTTTAAAAAGCCAGAGGGCCAAGCAGCAGGCTCCTGCAGCAGGGCAGCACAGCGGCGGCTCAGCGGGGCAACCAGAGGCCTTTGGCCAATTTCTTTTACATGTTACTGTGGTTTGCAAAGCTGCAGCTGTGAGTCAAACTGTTGCGTATGCGTTTATAGAACTCAAATGGTTTTTACAGGAGCAACTGAAGTGGCAGCCACGAAAAAAAATGTGCCAATTATATATATATTTTTTTCCAGTCTGTAGGTGGTTGTTTTCAGCCTGGTCTTCATGGTTCTTTACAGAATGCAGAAAAGACCACCAAATGACTCGATTCCGCTACAAAACCCAAGTAATGCTCCAAGGCTGCAGAGAATAAGACATTGTGCAAGTGCAACAACTCTACAGGTTGGTTCTGCTGCACTTGGTGTGTGTGTGTGTCAAAGTGGTTAAAGCACTGGAGCTTTAGACACAATAAACCAAGTGGCTCTATATGCAGATTATTAAATTATTAAACATGCATACATACTTTTGAGACCATACGAGCTTGACATATTTGCAGAAGAAGCTGCAGCTTACCCGATATTGTGGAAAAACCCGGGGCAAGCCAACACAACACGGGCAAACATAGACTTTGAGCACGTCACATGATTGTAACTGACAATATTTCTAAAATTCACATGAAAGAACGCAAGGAGCATTGTGAGCTGAAACACCTCAAAAACAAGCACCTTCTAGCTGCTTGTGTAGCTCGAGCTGTAGTGGGTGTTGAGTGGGAAGAAGCCCGAGAAATGGCGATAGTGGGCTGTAGTGGGTCCTGAGCAGTCTAACTAAATTCTACTACAGAAATGTTTCCGTTATCTCCGCCTTACACGCAACTACAGCGGGCTCAGCTGCGGCGCAATCTGCGAATAATCAACGTTGCGTAACGGTCTTACCTTTGCTGGATTAAAGTTAGTCCTTCCTGTCCGGACTGAAGTTTAGAGGGAAAACACAGGTAGAGGAGAGAATTCCGCAAAATTCGTCCTCCTTTTTCAGCATTGCCCAGTAAATCACTACCAACGAACTGCGACAAAGTCACGTTTCGAAAACAGAAAAAAAACAGAGGCTTAGGAAACCCACCGAAAACAGATGACGCTTCAATCCGCGGTCCGAAAGTTTGTGTCAGTCCTCTCTAGGCACACAGTCTTTTGCGGTCTCACCAATAAGCTGCGGAAAAAGCCCCTCTCCCCCGTTTCATTACTCCTGCTGGTAAATACATCGCATTGGAACTGGGACGCACCGCAAGGCATTGTGGACTGTTTTAAAGCTGCAATACACTGTGAGGGGGAGGATGACTTCCAGCCAACTTTTACAGATCCGCAGACTTTTTAAAAGAAGAAGAAAGATACCATGCAGGGTTTTCTTACATAAGGAAATACTGGGATAAGGGGGGATGTCGCGTAGGCTGTGACTGAAAATCTGCCCGTGAGAGAGCGAAAAAGCTTTGAACTACAGTTAGACTGCACCAAAAGAGTGAAAATAGACATTTAAACACCATCGTGTTTTACTTCCAGTTCTGTTGAGACACCATAAAGGCAAGCTCACATAAAGAGCTGATAAATCAACATTGTATCATCTAACTGAAAAAAAAAGTCAAATTGGTGCTCTGAACACTTTTATTTTCAAACAACATCATTTACACTGTCAAATATTCATATTAGAAATCACGTGAATGAATTTGTAGGCTGCATTTACATTCCCTCAGTTTCTTGCAAATACACAGCATGTAGATGCATTCAAACTGATGCAAATGATGAAGATGAGCCTACAGCAGTGAGACCGCGTATAAACGGAGGCTTAGTGCCCTCTTGTGACAAAACAGACTTTCCTCTTAAATTCTTAAGGACAGAGAAGTGGTGCAATCAGTGGTTTAAGTGCTCTTAACCAACACGTCTGGTGAGGTTTACATTACTTCATCAGAGGTTTGGTATAAATGTATACATTTTTATTTTACTGATGTGCATAATCGCTTTTGTAATAACCAATTTGATCTTTGCCAAATTGCTTTCAAAACTAAAGCACAGCGGAGTGGACTGTGTCAGTATATATATATATTGATATATATATATATATAATATATATATATATAATATATATATATTATATATATATATATATTATATATATATATATTATATTTATAAAAAAACCCAAAATTAATTAATGTGAAAATTAAACATATAAACATATAAACATATAAACATATAAACATATATATATATATAAAGGTCTGTTAGATCATTTTCAACATATATTGTGATCTTTAAAATATATATTTAGTCACCTTATATTCTTGGATTATTGTACACAAGCTTTTTATTCTACATTAGGTGTCTCTTCATTGGATATATCACCAGCTGCACAAGGCAACCCTATGATCAATGGCTAGGTGCTAAAATTCTGATATGGACTTGGGTACTAGGGTACTTTGACTGTAGAACCAACATATAGGATACTGATCTAAAAAGTTATGGAACACTTTTTGTTGTTATTATTTTTTTAATCCAGCCCTGGAAGGATTGATGATTTTGTTCTCAGAAATGAGACACTACTTGTGGGGGTCAGCGGTAGTTCTGGTGGTAGAGCAGACCATCTACTAATCAGAAGGTCGCTTGGTTGATTCCCGGCTCTTCTAGTCCATGTGTTGAGATATCCTTGTATCAGTTGGACTGTGTGTGTGTGACTGTTAGACAAGAACTCCTTAGTCACATATAAAAGTGAGGTGTGAACGAGACTTACGTAAAAAGTGCTTTGAGTGCTCAAATTGAGTTTTCCTCAAAATGTTCAAACAATGAGTAAAATGTGTCATAGCACAGAAGCTTCTTTAATGTGCAGTTAAATACTTGGAGAGTGACACATTGGTTTTTGTAGTTTTGCCCCTGTGTGACACCACTGTAGAATCTAAATCAAACAATCGAGATGTGACTTGAGTACAGCTTTTTAGCTTAGCAAAAAAAGAAAAAAGACATTAACTATTGAAGAATTAAAGCATTTCATTAATATGACAATTGTCCACCAAAATTTAAAAATTTGTATCTTTGTCCAAAAACTTATGGACGTGATTTTACTGATGAACATGTGGCTGGAACATGCCTGTCACTGTGGAAATTACTTTTTGTCCAAAATTTGCTCTCATGTCTGCATATAGTGCCTTTGATATGTGTAGTTCAATGGTGATACTATAGATAGAGTTTCGTTGGTAGATAGGAGGTTTGGTTTTTTTTTGTTCAATTAACATTTGAACCGTGTATGACTTTGAAAAGAGGGAACTTAAGAGTTCTCTCTTTTAACTTCTTCCTTAGTTTTACACACTGTATATTTTTTTGAGATGTAGATACAATGCAGCATTTTCTCTGACACTAATGTAAAATTCCTGGCACAGATTATGATAATTACTGTTATTTGCTCACAGTATAATGAATGATGCGACCTTAATACGTTTGAGCATTTGATTATAGTCTTTTTCAGCTGTAAAGTTACCTCTTACCTGCACCTCTCTGACCTGGCATCTTTTAAAGTAATGAAAAAGTGATTAAAAATTGAAAAAATGATTCAGATATTCTCAATTTACACATTTGTTTCACAGATGATCTCTAAATCCAGCAGCACATGGAATTGAGAGCTCAATAGTGCCCTCTAGCGTGTCTGTTGTACAATGTGAAAGCAATGCATTGGGTTTTAAAAACAACGTCATATTATTTTACGGTACAAGAACGTATTATGTTTGCTGCATGTTATTTATTTAATGTTATTAGTATAAGGTCCCAGACAGAATCCACTAAAAACAACCTTTCTGGTACAATGGGCAATAATCCTCATGACTAAAAGAGAAATCAAAACAAAACAAAACAAGAAACAAACAAAACATGCTATATGCTGTTCTTTCCTTTTATCCTTAAACATAAGTTTGGGTTTTGTGTCCGTCTTTTGTTACGAACGCCTGCACATGCAGTGCGCAGGAGGAACCCTTGTGAACACGTAGGAAAACTGACAAGGGATTGCCAAATCATTTTCCTGCCTGGGAATGACGTCCCTCCTGCACATTCCAGTTATATTTAGAGCCTATAAATAGGCTCGTGGAGTGCCCCCTAGGCTTTGTTGACTGCAGGCAGCAGCAGTCGGAGCACAAGTCCTACAAATTGTGACCTTTGTGGGTATATCAATGAAATCATTAATCATTTCAATCATTAAAGTATTGATATGAACTTCTCACTCTGGTTAAAAAATAATAATTTTAAAAACATACATATATGAATTAAAAAAGACAGGTAACATTTCCACTACTAGTAGAATAATCAGTGCTTATATAAATCTAGTCATAAATGAAAACTGTGTAAAAGAGCCGCAATGCGCACACAAATGACAAAGTACAGTGTATTACAACTCATATTGCGACACATACACACATCGAGAGATAAATGCCCCAGACCGGTTGAAATCCTGCTATGGTTTATGGGTAAAAGTACGCCTGGTATCCGCCCATATACGCGTAAAGCAGGCCAGACGGAGCAGCTAGGCCGGGGCGCTGGATCAAATGGAAAGTTCAATCGATTAATTTGCTCACTTTTTCGCATGTTCTCTCTTGCTTGTGAACCGACGACAGATCAACTTAAATGCGGGAGTTTTGGTGAGAAATAGGAAATGCAGAGATCGTGTGAAACGAGAGGAATATCAGCTTGACTCGGTCGCTACTTCGGACGCGGAACTCCACTCAGTAAAAGGTAAAACAAATGGAGGAGATTATTACATGTTGGGCCCCCTTTCCTTTTTTTTGTAGTGCTTGTCGAAACATTGTTTTCACTAATGTAGTTAGTCGGTCACCGTGCCCACTATCTAAGCACTAAACAACACCGCTATAGTGGTATTATTCATTTTCGGTTTTTTGAACTTAACTACGCCCAATTGTTAACCTACCGTCTGGCCCTGCAACGCAGACCTGTGAGCTAGCTTATCAATGGCGGCTTCAAAATCTGGCACCCTTCCCCTTTGAATGAATGATAACGAGTGTGTCGGGGTAGGCGGTGCAGCCAGTGCTCCTTTTAATGAATTACATTTTTTATAATACGTTAAGTTAGCTGATGTGGTCTCATGGTGAGTTTACTTTCGAGGCTGTTGGCGAGCTCCAATGCTAAGCTTGCTAGCAGCACAGCAGCCTGGTGCTCAGACGGTTTCACACAGCCTTTCTGGTAACCCTGTAGCCGCAAAGCGGTGAATTTAAATCAAAATCCCTGTTGACTTTTAAGTATGCTACTGATGCTTCTACCTGTTGAAGCATGATAGGTGGTCTTTCATTGAAAAGCTAAATCACGTACCCGGCTAACCGTTCCAAACTAGCATAACGATATGTTTGCTAATAAATATCGACAAGTCTCCTTGTGTAATAGGTGATATTTTTTTCTCCCGCAGTGATATTCAGTTCAGTGGGGTTTTTTTCTTCTTCTTCCTCTATTGGGAATGTCCTTGATTTCAGGAATGTCAACATAAAGTTGGATGCACTGCATGCCATTAACGGGTTCAGTTTAAGGCAAGCTACAGCCACGAGTGGCACACTCCTATCTTAAGGAAATAAGGTTTCCATCGACCTTCCACAGCTTCAAAACTTTGCCACAGTTTGAAGCAGATCTTTTTCACTGTATTAAAAAAAATAAATAAAATAAAAAATCTCAGTCCTTAAAACGCAAATTATATTTTCTTACTGGAGTACAAGAGCTACATTCCTTATTTTTAAATTGTTGTTTGTTGCTTGACAGCTTGCTGTATTCATTCATTTTCCACTTTCACTGACTAGTATGCTGCAAAGTGACAGCATAGACATAGAGACGTGAAAGCCATGTGGCGCACACAGAGGAATCGCCATTGACACTGGAATTGGTCTTATCTGTTCAGGTTAAAGATGAGGTTGTTTCTTTACAGATGGCGTCCTCATCAATGACATGTGTAAATCACTTAGTGTGTAGATGAAATAATAGGGGACAATTTTATAAAGAAAAGTGTTGTGAGCACAAACCAGTTTATTAGTAGTTGGGCAAATGCATAGCATTCTAGACATAGCAATAATATTTAGTGGCACTCCTCCCTGACTGCAGGCTCGGCTGAGCTTTCTGTGCTGTAGCCTCTGAAAAGACCAGCAACTACTATTGATGTGTTCCGCTCCACACAGCAGACAGACAGCAGAGACCCTCCCAGTTGCCTGTCAATTTTGGAGCCTTAATGTAATGTCATGGATTTCTGCCTGGGGTTGGCGTCTGTTGTGGAGCTGTCACTCAGAAAACACTACTGAATTTAGACATTTAATTATATATATATACGCCTAATCTCATCTTTATGCATTTTATTTCACGTTTGATGTTTCTGACAATTTTCAGAGACAGCAATTTCAATTGATTATTTAAAGAATATTTGATAATATAGCAGCTTTTTGTGAATCCATTTGGGTTTTTTCTGTTTATACCCTCCATTTGCATACAAACACATGCAGATTAACTATCTATTGTGTTTGTGGCAAGCTTCTTCTACAAGCCTCTTGGTTAATACTAAAATGGGCATTTTCTCTGTGAAAAGCAAACTAAACTTGGTGTGAAATCTAATTTCCCAGTGATTCAGGTGTGTTAATAAAAGAATAGCTGAGGGCGAGTTGAGTTACTCACTGGAAGTGGTGTTCATATCTTAATATCTTCTCATTCTGCCAGTCCTGAGTGTGCAGATTTCCAGTAAACAAACGGGTTGTTGTACAGAAATAACAAGGTGTGAATGCGATTAGATTGTAAAATTGTTTTAAGTGGAAAATGCACGAGGCATTGATTGTGCACCAGATCAACTAATACTTTCCATTTGACTTTCACTGAAGATAATCATATAATGAGATTGTATTTTTGTTTTTTTAACTTACAGGTGAATCATGACAGAATATAAACTGGTTGTGGTGGGAGCTGGTGGCGTTGGCAAAAGCGCGCTTACCATTCAGCTCATCCAGAATCACTTCGTGGATGAATATGACCCCACCATTGAGGTAAAGGAAAAATATAGAATGTTTCTGTTCCTGTGTCTTTGTGTATGTGTCGACATATGAAAGGGGGCAGCACAAGTTGTAAGTCCTGTGTGTGTGTGTGTGTGTGTGTGTGTGTGT